CTCAATCAACTACTAAAAAATATTACTGAATGAGGTACAAAACATTATTTTATACGTGTTATTTTGAAATCATACTTACCAGCAGTTGTTTTCAGGAAGTGATGTGGATGACTATACTTGAATGAAGGATAACCAAAGAAACACACATAATTTGGCTTCAAAACATGAACATTACCACATGTTTGAAAATAGCGAACACAAATCTACAGATGAGAAAACAAAAAGTAAAACCATTTATAAACGATTACACTGGCTTATCTCTAAGTATAAACTGAATTTCAATTCTATTCTAAAAGTAGAACCATTATCACAATAGAAATATGATATCCTTAGATTTAGATTTGTTACATTTATGATCCTTGCTCAAAATTCCTTCTGAAAGTAAAGACATTTTAACAGTGTATTCTGTATAAATACATCAGCTTATAGGTATGCTTCAATCATTGGACTTCCTGAACTAAAACTACTAAAGAATTCTAAAGTAACAGTTAGCATCTAAAAACAATGAAACACTTGTATAGTATGATACCCTCAAGTTTACTTATAGTAACTTACAGATGACTGTTTAGCATTCACTATTTTACATAGTACCTTAGTATACTATTATTTAAAAACCTCTTATAGAAATCAGTAGGCCCAAAAGTATTCAACTCTACATATTAAAACCTAAGTGTCTGAAAGGTATTTTGTGTGTGTGTGTGTGTGTGTGGTGTGTGTGTGTATGTGTGTGTGTATTTGAGACAGGGTCTCACTCTGTTGCCTGGTCTGGAGTGCAGTGGTGCGATCACAGCTCACTGAAGCCTCGACCTTCTAGGCTCAAGGGCTCCTCCCGCCTCAGTCTTCCAAGTATCTGGGACCACAGGTGCATGCCACCCCACCCAATTAATTTTGTTTATTATTTGTAGAGATAAGGTCTCACTATGTTGCCCAGGCTGGACTTGAAGTTCTGAGCTCAAGCAATCTTCCCGTCTCAACCTCCCAAAGTGCTAGAATTACAGGTGCGAGCCACCATGCCAGGCCATAATATCTTATTTTGAAAGTTAATATTTTAATGCTATTAATACCTAACTACATCACACTGTAAACATAAACTACAGAAATGTATTTACTTATTTAATTTTAAAACCCTGAGCTTACTTCTCTGCAGAAATTTCTAACCTTCTTAGCATAAGAATACTGATAAGTGAAACTTATTCATGTATGTAACAGAGTCACTTTTACTTTAAAAAAAAAATCATGTACATTAGTGGTGATTCGCTCGTAAAGGCTATGTTATAATAAACATTATATAGTACAGTTATGTTTTAATACGTATTTATAAACTAGAATTTTTGTTTTATTCTGATAGTAAATAACATAAAATTAAAAGTTTGGTTTCCTGACAAGAACAATACATTTAAATTCATATGTTTTACTTTAAATTTCAAGCTATTACTGATTTCTGAAGGCAAAGAAAAACTGAAGATCCCTTTCCTAAAACATAAATAATCTTAAATCATTCATCTTAACTTTAGAGATCACCCTAAATCAACTAATCCTTATAATATCTACATTTTATTCTTATTAACATTAATATTCAGGAAATACAAAGCCTAACTAAAATAATTAAAATTGATAGCTTAAAACTAGAAGACAATGAAAGAATTCTCTTTCCCAAACATTTCCATTTTGTTTGTCCTTGCTTTCTCCTTCAGCTCCCATAATCCTGACTCTTGGTCAATAATCAAATCAAAGGAGTGAATCAACCTGTTTCATCAGACATAAAACTTAGGGACAATAAAGGAAAGTTTTGAAGTATATAGATCCACCTTAATTTAAATAAAATTGTTGATATTTTTAAAACGTTTGAAAGAAAATTAAACTATTAGAAGGTCTTACCTTCAACAACAACACAACTCCTGTTGAGCTATTCATGGGTCAGCACAAACCACCAAGCTTAACATTTATCGAGTGCCTCCCAAGTGCTGAGTACTTTCAAAGCCTTTTCAGACAGACCAGGCACGGTGGCTCTTGCCTGTAATCCCAGCACTTTGGGAGGCTGAGGTGAGTGGATCGCTTGAGGTCAAGAGTTCAAGACCAGCCTAGCCAACATGACGAGACCCCCTCTTTACTAAAAATACAAAAATTAGCTGGATGTGGTGGCACACACCTGTAGTCCCAGCTACTCGTGAGGCTGAGGCACAAGAATCACTTGCACCTGGGAGGTGGAGGTTGCAATGAGCCAAGATCACACCACTGCACTTCAGCCTAGGTGACAGAGAGAGACCTTGTCTCCAAAAGAAAAATAGTCTTTTCAGACATCATCTTTTTTGTTGTTTTTTATTTTGAGATGGAGTTTTGCTCTGTCACCCAGGCTGGAGTGCAGTGGCACAATCTCAGCTTACTGCAACCTCTGCCTCCTAGGTTCAAGCGATTCTTGTGCCTCAGCCTCCCAAGTAGCTGGGACTACAGGCATGTGCCACCATGTCCAACTAAACTTTTTTTTTGTATTTTAGTAGAGATGGGGTTTCATTATGTTTCCCAGGGTGATCTCGAACTCCTCAGCTTAGGCAATCCGCCCACCTTGGCCTCTCAAAGTACTAGGATTACAGGCATGAGTCATGATGCCCAACCCAGACATTTTTATATCTTACAATTTCCCTGTGGAACATACACGGTAGCCCTCTTCAACACACAGGAAACTGATGGGAAAGGTGAAGTAATTTGTCCAAGGTCACACAGCAAATAAGTGGAACAATCAAGCTCTGAAGCTAAGTAAATTTGATGTCAAAGACCCTAGAAGTAGGAGAAATAATCCCTAATTTCAAAGAGTTTCAACCTATGTGAGAAAATAAACACACACACACACACACACAAACATACTCAAGCATGGACATGCATGCTCTAACTTTTTGTAATAAGAGACATAACCTTCTTCAATATAATCCATAGGTTCACAAAAAAAAAAGAGGCACAGGCAGTAAGTGATAAAGGAGTTTAAGTAGGCCGGGCATGGTGGCTCATGCCTGTAATCTCATTGCACTCCAGCCTAGGCAACAAGAGCAAAACTCTGTCTCAAAAAAAAAAAAAAAAAAAAGAGTTTAAGTAAAGGGGTCTGGTGGGTTTTTTTTCACATTAGTGTGACCTGGGAAGGCTTCTTGGGGGAAGATTTAAGCTGCACTGTGCATAATAAGCCTCCATAATAAAAGAGCAGAAGGGCACTTTTAAGGCAGAGGAAACAGCATAAATAAACTACAGCAGAAATTTACTTAGCATATCTGCTGGGACACTGAGCAGCTTGATTTGGTTTGACCAAAGGTATAAAAGAGAGCAGTGGAAATAGCTCAAGGAGGAAATGGTTGATGACTATAATATCAGTATAAGGAGTTTGAGCTCATACATTATGGGTTATTGAAGAAAAAGGATTAGGATATTAGTAGTGGTTTACTGAATAGATTACAACAGATAAAATCTGGAGAGAAAGGGAGAAGTCAAGAAACTATTACATACCAAAATTATCAAAAAAGGATCTTTTTTTAAAAAAGAAACTATTACCATATTCCTCTCTTATCTCCTTATGGGCAGTGGACACGTTCAAGACCCCCCCCTCCGAATACTGAATCCTACATATTCTACATATACCATGTTTTTCTTATACATACATACCTATGATAAAGTTTAATTTATAAATCAGACACAGTAAGAGAGTAATAACTAACATCATAAAATAGAAAAATTATGATAATATACTTTAATAAAGGTTTTATGAATGTGGTCTCTCTCTCAAAATATCTTACTATACTGTGCTCACCTATTTTCAGACTGCAGTCGACTATGGGTAACTGAGACCGCAAGTAAGAAGAAGAGAGTACTGTATAGTATCTGAAGGGGAGAGTACTGTGTAGTATCTGAGACGCAAAGCAACAGGCTCCTGACTGAGGTAATTAACAGTAGAAAAAGAAAAAAAGCAACAAAAGTACCATAGGCAGTATATGATTAATATAATAGTAATTGAATGGCTATGAGGAGAAGGCTAAAAGCACTGTGAAGTTGCTGAATAGACGGATTAACAGGCAACAGGAAAGAGGAGAAAAAACAATTTTTCAAGCTAGAATTCTAAATTTTTTTTCTAGAAGCAGACTATTAGACTAGTAAATTATATTTTTAAATTTTCTTCAGAGACAGGGTTGGCAGGGCGCAGTGGCTCACACCTGTAATACCATCTCTAAAAATAATAATAAAATAAAGACAGCGTCTCACTTTTTTGCCCAGGATGGTCTTAAACTCCTGGGCTCAAGCAATCCTCCTGTCTCAGTCTCCCAGAATGCTAGGATTACAGGTGTGAGCCACCACACCCAGCTAGACTAGTAAATTAAGCATAAGGATTTAAACCTCCAATTTTAAAAAGGCATGCTTATAGAATTACCAGTTTTATATATTTTATATTTGAAGCAATTCTAAATTCATGTACGAACAATACTAAAGACACCTAATTCTATGGGGACCATCTGTACCAATTTGCCTGAGGTGACACCCAATTCACCCCTAGTAATTCAAGGCAATTATTAATAACACCATTTTCATTCTCAAATATATCCTGGTTGAACAACTACACATGTAGTCTAACTCTTAATGCAATTGTTTGACTAAAATAGGTCTTTCCTTGATTTTAAAAAGTAATTCAGCCAGGTGTAGTGGCTCATGCCCGTAATCCCAACATTTTGGGAGGTCAAAGTGGAAGGATCACTTGAGCCCAGGAGTTCAAGATCATTCTGGGAAATGTAGTGAGACCTTGTTTACTAAAAATCAAAATAATTAGCCGGGTGTGGTGGTGAATGCCTGTAGTCCCAGCTACTTGGGAGGCTGAGGAAGAAGGACCACTTGAGCCCAGGAGGTCAAGGCTACAGTGAGCCAAGATCATGCCACCACACTCCAGCCTGGGCAACAGAGCAAGAACCTGTCTCAAAAATAATAATGAATAAAATAAAAAATTAGGCCAGGCACAGTGGCTCACGTCCATAATCCCAACACTTTGGGAGACTGAGGCAGGCAGATCACGAGGTCAAGAGATCAAGACCATCCTGGCCAACATGGTGAAACCCCATCTCTATTAAAAATACAAAAATTAGCTGGGCGTGGTGGCACGTGCCTGTAGTCCCAGCTACTCAGGAGGCTGAGGCAGGAGAATCGCTTGAACCCAGGAGGCGGAGGTTGCATTGAGCTGATACTGCGCCACTGCATTCCAGCCTGGCAACAGAGTGAGACTCCGTCTCAAAAAATATAAAAATAAAAAATTAATAATTCAATATCACAACCAGGACAGAAAAACATAAAGGGAAATAAAACTATTCACCAAAGTAGCATATTAAGGAAATATTTAATAATAATTCAATAGGCAGCTGTTAAGCACTCCTAAAGTCAGACATTGTACTGGACTTGGAAATGCAAAGCTAAATAAGATGCAATATATAGTTCCTGAATTCAAATGGCTTACACTTTACTACAGGAAGACAGACACAACAGAAAAATTCCAAATGGCATGATTAATCAAGAGTCAAATGCATGATGTCCTAGGGAAATGTAAAACACAACATTATAAAGCTATTTTAATAATTTACTGCAGGGGTAAGAGCTGTTTTTGCTTACAACTTTTTACAAAAGTTTAAAAGCCTGACTTTTTTCTACTGAGTCGTTTAAAAAATATTTATGAGCACCTACAATGTGCCAGGCACTTGGGATTATACAGACAACAAAACAGATGCAATTTCTTCCCTTATAGAATGCACAGTCCAGTGAAAGGTAAAGGTAAACAGGTGATTATAACACGTGCTATAATGAAGGAAATAGAGTGTGTTAAGGGAACCTAGCTGGAGAAAGTTATGTTGAAGTAAGACCTGAGGGATGAGTAGGAGTAACCCAGGGAATGAGGGATGTTGCGATGCGGCCACAGGGGAGTAAGGCAAGAGTCTTTAAAGCAGAGGAAATACAAGTGCAAAGGTCTGGAGTAAAGGTCTGGAGTTGAGAGAGAAAGCACAGTGTGTGTGCAATTAACTCAAGTTGTTCAACAGAGTTCTAGTGTAGTTTAGTGTGTAATAAGGGTGGAGAAGTGTCAGAGTTGGGGGTGGGATGGGTAGGTTTTGGTAAGGAATGAGGTCTAAGAGACTAGAAAAGTCCAGATCATAAATTGCCTCATAGTCATTTGAATTTTGGACATTTTGCTGAAGGCAGTTTTAAGCAAGAAAATGACATTATCAAATGTCTCTTACTTTATAAGATCACTCTGGCTACACTATGGAGAATGGGTTGGAAAAATGACAAGACCCCTGGAGGCATATAATCCAGTTAAGAAGGGCCAAGAAATCTCCAGTTGAGGGCAGGGTGAAAAAATCATGACTAGATTTCTTCAGAGAGAATTACAGGCTCAAATCAAGAGAAACTGGGCCAGGGCAGTGGCTCATGCCTGTAATCCCAGCACTTTGGGAGGCCAAGGTGGGAGGATGACCTGAGGTCAGGAATTCAAGACCAGCCTGGCCAACATGGCAAAACCCTGTCTCTACTAAAATTACAAAAATTAACCAGGCATGGCGGTGCGTGCCTGTAGTCCCAGCTACTTGGGTAGCTGAGGCAGGAGAATCGCTTGAACCCGGGAGGTGGAGGTTGCATTAAGCCAAGATTGAACCACTGCACTCCAGCCTGGGCAACAGATCAAGACTCCTCCCCAAAAAAAAACAAAAACAAAAACAAAAATTAAGAGACACTGGTTTGAGGGTTCAGTTCTAGAGCCTGGGGAGTCTGACCTGCTTTGAAGCTTTATGGCAGACACTGTGAGAAGACTAAAGACAAGCTTTTCTGCTGGGCATGATGGCTTACGCTGTAATCCCAGCACTTTGGGAGGCCAAGGCAGGTGGATCACTTGAGGTCAGGAGTTCGAGACCAGCCTGGCCAACATAGTGAAACCCCGTCTCTACCAAAAATACAAAAATTAGCTGGGCATGATGGCATGTGCCTGTAGTCCCAGCTATTTGGGAGGCTGAGGCAGAAGAATCACTTGAACCTGGGAGGAGGAGGTTGCAGTGAGCCAAGATCGCACCACTACACTCTAGCCTGGGTGACAGAGAGAGACTCCATCTCAAAAAAAAAAAAAAGAAAGAAAGAAAAAAAGAAAAAAAACAAACAAACAAAACACCCAAGTGTTTCTAAGCTCCCTTGTGCTAGCAGTGGCCATGTAACACTGTTCTGGTCAATGAGACTGGAACCTCGTCCTCTTCCTCCTTCCTGCCTTGAACATAAAATAAGAAGTTGTAGCAGCCCTCTTGTAAACAGTAGGAAAAGGACAAATGAACTACTAGGGAAATGACGACATTGATAATCGTAAGCCACTGAACGCGAGCTGACATCTAATTGGGGATGCTCTGTATGCACGGATAATTTCCTGTTTATTGGTTGGGTTTTTAATTGCAGCTGGATAACATCACAGGACAGTAGGATATATGGCTTTGGAGTAGACCTGGTTGGAAGACTGGGGAACTTTTGAACTCATCAGCATAGATGGTAACTATATCCAAAGAGTGGATGGGATAACCCAGAAAGTGGGAAAAGTGCAGAGGGCCAAAGTCAGAGCCCTTTAGAAAGAGCAATATTTAAAAGGTGGGTAGGGAAAGAGGATATTAGGATGAAGTGGCCAAATATGAAGAAAGAATAATATTGGGAGACTGGTGTCACAGAAAACAAGAATGGAAAGCTCTAGAAAGAAGAGAGACCAATATATGTAAGTGTTGCTGAGAAGAGCTTTCTTCTCCTGGTTATCTCTTACTTATCCTTCTTAAATCTCAAGTCATACAGTATCCTCTGGGAACTCCTCTGACCCCCAAGTCCGCCATAGGTGTCTACTCCTGTGTGTTCCTGTAGTTCTAGGCACTTGTTCCATCACAGTACTTCTCATGCTGGCTTGTAATTTCTTAATATCTGTCTCCCTCTCCTTTGTCCTCCACCACAAGGTTGTAATCTCTTGAGAAGGAAGATATGATGTCTATTTCATATTTGTATCTCCAGTGCCTAACACAGTACCTGGTACATAGCAGGCTCTTGAAAGTTTTTTGTAAGATCGGGGTCACCAAGGCAGGAACATCTAGGGAAAGGGAGAGGGGGCAGGAAGAAGAAACACTAAGCAAATAGGGTGAAATAATATCATTACCGGGATGTGTCAGTGCTTGGTGCTAAGACTGGGAGAAAGAGAGGGAAGTGCAGGGGAGACGGTGGTGGGTCACAGCCTTGGTGACAAAAGGGTAGGAATGGTATGTGGTGCGGACGTAGAAGTACAAGCCAGAAGAGTGAAACACAAGCCGCTCAGTTATTCGGAAGCAGGGCCCCCTGGTGATATTCTATAACTTGAACGGCCTCTTCCTCTACACATTGTAAATTCCTTGAGGGCAGGGGTCGTGTTACCAGTGTTTGGCATACTGTGGGTACGCAATAAATGCTAAACGAATATATCTCTGGATCCACAGCGCCTATCACCAATGCCTGGCATCTGGAAGGGGCTCAATGAAACGCCAGCTGGGCCTCAGTGTACAGATGAAGCAGGAGGACGGCTGAGTCGTTGCAGAAGCGCTTCCAGGTAAGGGGAGGGAGTGGGTCTCCACTCCAGACTAGTCGACTCGCTCCGTTCTCTGCCCTTTATTTTGCATGCATCCCTTCACCTCTCCATCACGCATGCCCTGGACGCCTGGCACCGGAGGAGAAAGAAACACACCACTCCTGGATGACTCCGGACAAATCACTCCTTCCCGGCCTCAGATCTGCCCAAACCCGCTTACCAGCTTCCCCGCATTCCTGCTCCAGGTTCTCAGCATACGGACTGCAGCCATCTTACCCCGGAAATGACAGCTGCGCCGCAAACCCGAGAGACTCTCCGCGGCGCGACCTATCAGAAGATGGGAGACGCTCCTCCCCCTGGGCGACCAATAGGGAGGGAAGAAACGAGCCTCCCACCCAACAGCCAACCGGGGAGTAGGGCGGGGCCTGAGCTAAAGCCTAAGGTTGGGGACCCCGCGAGGAGGGAAAAGAGCCTGGGGGATGGAGGCGGGGCAGAGGGCAGCCCAAATTTAACACTGCTGTGTAAATACGGATGCACCAGAGATAATCTTTTTAGTGTATGGGATGGGGGAAATAGAGAGTGTTAAGGAAACACAAAGGAAAGGTACTTACCTCAAGAAAGTTATGTTGCAGTAGGACCTGAGGGATGAGGTAGAAAACATTCCTCTTCTTCATTTGTAATGCAACCGCCTGAAGTACAGAAAATAGAATATATCTATATGTTGTAGCAAGGCTCTGGACAACTAGTTGTTTCACAAGTCCATACAGCAGTACTTTCCAATGACTGCCTTTTTTTTTTACTCCCATTTAGTGTTTTTGATTACCAAAATTGGCTAATCAATTTTTTTTCATGAAAGATGAACATTACCTAATGTCTAAAATAAACATGTTACCATCTTTCTTTTTACAGATGCTGTCAGATGCAGCTAACTAACATACGCAATACATGTCACAGACATATGATCTTGATTTACTTGTCTCTTGAAGAAATGTCAAATTCGGGTCAAGTAGAACTGGTAAAGAAAAGATCAGAACTTTCTTTTAAAAGGCAATCTTCCTCAGAGCAACTAGGAAACCAATTTCTGGAAATGTCCAGGATGACATTAGACTGTTACTGCTTCTTACATGGGAATGAAAATCTGCACAGATGTCTAAGGAATTACAGAGAAAAAAACTAGAACAAATACATTTTAAATCCTCAACATTGAAGATTAGTGGTTATGAAACAAAATCTCAGGTATTTCACAACTTCATTGTTTAATATGACCCAAACACTTTTTCTTCTCATTTGCCATTTTATGTATTACACACCTACACACATACACACACAAAATCACTACAAACAATAAATCTTATTATCTTTTCTGTTTGTTTGTTTGGCAGAGATAGGGTCTCTTGGGCCAGGCGTGGTGGCTCATGCCCATAATTCCAGCACTTTGGGAGGCTGAGGCAGGCAAATGGCTTCAGCTCAGAAGTTCAAGATGGGATCTCGTTCAGCTCAGAAGTTCAAGATGGGATCTCAGAAGTTCAAGATGTTGCCAGGCTGGTCTCAAAGTCCTGGTCTCAAGCGGCGATCTTCCCATCTCAGCCTCCCAAAGTCCTAGGATTACAGGCATGAGTCACTGGGCCCGGCCTAAATAGTTATCTTTATCAGAAAATCTAGACTAGTCAAAAGAATTTCAAGTTTTTACATTTCCTTAAAAATGTTTATAGACATTATCAATGTATTTGATAATCCCACAAGCATGTGTTTGTATAAAAAGCAGTGGCAGTTGTACCTTTGAAGTGAATCATCTCCCTTCCAAGGTGCTGCTGTACAACTTTCTTCCCCCTGATTTCCTTTTTAACTATACCTGCTCCTCAGAAGATAACTAGTTTATTTTCCTTTACCGTCTTTTTATCTCAATGGATTCTTGCTTCTATATTCAGTATGTGTCCTTATCTTTCATTCCAGCATCTGGAAAGAAATACACCATCTATTCCCTAGTTAATTCTTTTATTCGAGTTTGAAAGCAACAAAGACCCCATTTCTTCTCTTTTTTTAAATTTAAAAATGACCAGTTATGACCCACCAATTCCACTCCTGGATAGCTATGTAAGAGAAATGACAACAGTGTTCACACAAAGACTTGTATAGGAATAATCATAACAGCATAATAGCTATTCTAGAAATAGCCCAGATGTCCAGTAACAGGTGAATAAACAAAATGTGGTACATCCATATACTGAAATATTATTCATCCTTAAAAATGACTGAATTAGCAATAATTGCTATGACATGGATGAATGTGAAAAAAATATTATGCTAAGTAAAAGAATGCAAGCACAAAAAGTCATGTATTACATGATTCCATTTCAATTAAATGTCCAGAAAATGTTGATTTATAGAGATGAAAAACAGATAGTTTTAGTTTATATTAATTACATAAGATTATATTAGTATTATTAATTAATAAGGTTAGAATTAGAAAACAAATTAGCCTGGGGCTAGAGGTGGAAGGGGTAGTGATTGCAGAGGCAAGAGAGATTTTTTGTGTGTGTGGTGATGAAAGTTTCCTCTTGCCAGTTTGTGGCAATGATTGCATAATTCAAAAATCTTTGAAGTATACACTTAAAACAAGTGAATTTTATGGTATGTAAAGTATACCATAATAAAGCTGTTAAAACTGTGTTACATGGAAGAATAATGAACATATGAATAAAAACAAATACATAAGGCTGGGCACGGTGGCTCATGCCTGTAATCCCAGCATGTTGGGAGGCGGAGGTGGGTGATGAGGTCAGGCGTTCAAGGCCAGCCTGGCCAACATAGTGAAACCCCGTCTCTACTAAAAATACAAAAATTAGCCAGGAATGGTGGCACGTGCCTGTCGTCCTAGCTAATTGGGAGGCTAACGCAGGAGAATTTCTTGAATGTGGGAGGCAGAGGAGGTTGCGGTGAGCTGAGATTGTGCCACTGCACTCCAGCCTGGGCAACAGAGCAAGACTCCATCTCAAAACAAAACAAAACAAATACATACATCACATAATAATATAACAAAAACTCTTGAACCTACCACTCAACTTTAAGAAATAGAACCTACGGAAAAACACATCATGTAGGTTGTCTAAAAATAAAATACATTCTAAACTACAAAAAAAGAAATAGAATCTTTCCTGTTAGTGAAGATCACTGTCTGCTCCTTCCTTTACCTCTCCCCTCCATAAGCGTTACCTTGAATTGTGTTTATCATTCCCTCGTTTCTTCTAGAATTGATCACATATACATATATGGATGGATGCCTAGCAACATATTATTTACTTTTGCTTGTTTTTGAGTCTCATAAAAATGGTATCAAACTATATATATCTTTCTGTAACTAGTGTTTCCGACATGATTTATTTATCCATTCTCTACTGAGTGGATATTTGTGCTGTTTCTAGTTCTTTGCTATTACCATCAGTGCTGTTATGAACATTCTTGATCATTTCTCCTGGTGCATGTTCTAGAGTTTCTTTAGCACAATGCTTCTCAGACGTAAATGAGCATTCATAGCAACTGGGTATCTTGTTAACATGCAGATTCTAATTCAGTAAATGTGGGTAGACCTGACATTCTGCATTTCTAACAAGCTCCAGGTGATACAAATGCTATTGGTTAGCCAACTACACTTTGATTAGTAAGCTCAGGATAAATACCTAAAAATTGAATTGTTGAAACGGGGATTATGTTTATCTTCAAGTTTACTCTAGATAATATGAAATTGCTTTCCAGCGTGATTGTACAAACTACATGCCTAGCTGCTGTATGTTTATTGTTCCTCATGTGATATTGTCAGATTTAAAATCTTCCCCCAATTTAGTAATTATAAAATGGTATTGTAATCTTAATTTGAATTTCTCTGATTATTAATAAAGTTCAGCATGTTTCTACATGTTTATTAGCCATTCTTAGAGTGCTTGCTCAATTGTTGATATTTCGAAGATGGGTTGTCTATGTTACTTTCTATAAATGTGGGATGGAATAAGATGAAACAATTTATCCTTAAGGAAATGACTGTGGGACTGGTACGGTGGCTCTGTAATCCCAGCACTTTGGAAGGCCAAGGTGGGAGGATCGCGTGAGCTCAGGAGTTTGTGACCAGTTTGGGCAACATGGCAAAACCCCATCTCTACAAAAAATTAGCTGGGGGTGGTGGCGCGTGTCTGTAGTCCCAAGGGACTGAGGTGAGAGGATCACTTGAGCTCTGGAGCTCGAGGCTGCAGTGAGTTATAATTGCATCACTGCACTCCAGCCTAGACAACAGGGCAAGACCCTGTCTCAAAAAAAAAAAAAAAAAAAAAAAAGAACATGACTGTGGCTTCATTAAATTGACACCCTGCTCTATTCATTCTGGAATTCTCCAGAAAGAGTGAAGTTTACCAAAACGCAACATGCTAATTAATGAAGGTCTTAAATTACTTGTTTGGCTCCTGGGTGTGACTTGACTGGTATCTGAGGATGACCTTCTGAATTCTAAGTGGTCAGGAGATAAATGTAGCCTAGAGTCAGCCCCTGCATTGACCATTACCCCAAAATGTACCAACATGCGCTTGCCTGAGCTACTGTAGTTTAACTATTTATGAATTTTGAGGACTTTTCATAGCTTAAGTATTTAAATGTCATTACTTATTTAGAAACTGTTTCAATATATGCTTAGCCAACCATGTTAATATAGACTTGTATGTATTGTATATAATATCGATATATATTTTGTTTAATATGGATAGTTTGTATTTGTAGTGATTCATTAAGAGTTTGAATTATATATAGATCTGCCTCTTTTTTGCCTATCATGGGCAAGTTTCAGTTTTCTTATGTACAAGATGAGACTGACATTGATAATACCTTCCCTACCATCTTCAATATACTTTCAGGGATATTTTGAGGATCAAAGGAATTCAAGTATCTTGATACTACTTTGCATGATGAAAGAGTCTATATAAATACAGTATTAATATATTGGATGACTCATCAAGAAGACAAATAACAAATGTTGGCAAGGGTATAGGGAAAATGAAACCCTTGTATGTACACTGTTGGTGGCAATACTTGTAAACTGGTACAGTTTCATGGCTGAACAATACTTCACTGTATGTATTCTTTATTTTTTGCTTGTGAAAATAGAAGTTCCTCAAGAAATTAAAAATAGAACTACCATATGATCAGCAATTCCTCTGTGAGCATAAACCCAAGGGAAATGAAATCATTAAGTTGTAAAGGTATCTGTAGCATTATTCACAATAGCTAGGATATGCGAACAACCTAAGTGTCTATTGATGAATGCATCAACAAAGGAAGTGTGGTTTATGTAAAAAAGAAAAAAATTTAAAATAAAATAAAATGCTTGTCCATGCTTTTTGCCCATTTTCCCTCTATAATGTATCTTTTTCTTGTTGATTAGTTTAGGAGTTCCTTATATATTCTGGATTTTTCTAATCCTTTTAATTTACAGGTGTTGCTAATACTTTCTTCCAGTTTGTGACATGTCTTTGCCTGCTTTTTTGAAAGCGTCCTTTGATGCACAGAGTTCTTAATTTTAATGTAGTTAAAATATATTCATCTTGTCTTTTTTTAAGGCAAGGCTTCACTCTGTCACCCAGACTGGAATGCAGAGTCATAATTACAGCTCACTACAGCCTTGAACTCGTGGACTCCAGCAGTCCTCTTGCCTCTGCCTTCCTAGTAGCTGAGACTACAGGTGCACACCACCACATGCAACTAAGTTTTTTAAAAAATTGTTTTGTAGAGACGGGGTCTCACGATGCTGCCCAGGCTGGTCTCAAACTTGTGGGATCAAGCGATCCTCCCACCTTGGCCTCCCAAAATGCTGGAATTTCAGGCTTGAGCCACCGTTCACAGGCCAAAAGTATTTATCTTTTATTTATAATTAGTGCTTTTTATGTCTTGAGAAATACATCCCACCTGGTGCAATAGCTGATGCCTGTAATCCCAACACTCTGGGAGGCCGAAGCAAGTGGATTGCTTGAGTCCAGGAGTTCAAGACCAGCCTGGGCAGCATGGCAAGATGCCATCTCTACAAAAAGTACAAAAATTAGCTAGGCGTGGTGGCACATGCCTGTAGTCTCAGCTACTCTGGAGGCTGAGGTGGGAGGATTGCTTGAGCTTGGGTGGTTGAAGCTACAGTGAGCCATAATTGTGCCACTGCACTCCAGCCTATGTGACAGAGCAAGACCCTGTCTCCAAAAATAAAAAAAGGAAAAAGAAATACTTTACAATCCAAAGGTCCTAAAGGTAGTCTGTTATATTTCCTTCACATGTCTTTTCTTTTGCAATTTTAAAAATTGAGATAGCAATCACATACCTTAAATTCATCCTTTAAAAGTGTAAAATTTAGTGATTTTTTGGTATATTAAAGTTCTGCAACTATTACCACTATCTAATTC